CGACACCAGCCTTACAAACCTTGTTGACACTTTAAAAAAAAATGACGATATTTACAATTTTGATTTAGAATCTTCTGTTGGAACTGTTCAAATTCCCAAACGTGTTTATGAAGGTCCCGCATCAAAATCAACAAATATATGCTATGAATCTTTAACGTTGGAGGACATCCCAAATTTACCATCTCCTATCAAGAAGCGAAGAACATCAGAAGTTTTAGAAATATTGTTTTATTATCAATGCAAACTTAAAGAAGAAAATTTAGTATATTTCAAAAAACAAACACAACAATACGCAACTAAATGCCAAAAGCTACGGGAGGAAAATATTGAATTAAAAAATAAATTAAAAAAATCTCAAAATGAGCAGGATAACATACAAAATCAAATAGAAATGCTGGAACATGTTAATAACAACACAAAACAATTTTGTAAAATGCTTTTGTCAAATAAAAATTTGTATAATGCCGATCAAAAACATTTAGCACAAAATATAAATTTTAAATCTGCCTCATTTTATTCTTTTTTAAGAGACGATCTGAAATTGCACCTACCAAGTCAATCATCTATTTATAATTGGTGTCCAATAAAAAACCTTCAACCTGGTTTTAATACTTGTTTAGTAAATAATTTACAAAATTTAGTAAATAAAATGGATGATCAATATAAACAAGTTGTACTAATGATTGATGAAATTCATATTCGATGAGACCTCACTTACAATCTATCTCAAGACCTTATTGATGGAGTAACCGATTATGGTGCTTATGAAAGGGAAAAATCCATTGGGAAACAAATATGTGTTATAATGCTTCGCGGTCTTTTTTGCAACTGGAAATATGTTTTAAGCTATTTTATATCAGAAAAAGGACTTTCATCAGAAAAATTAAAAGACATATTATATAAAAATCTCAAGATATCTTTTGAAATAGGCTTGAATGTAAGATGTGTGGTATGTGATCAAGGTCCTAATAATCGAAAATTCTTTAAGTTGCTCAATATAACAGAAGAAAAGCCATATGCCTCTTATAACGGAAATAAAGTATTTTATGTTTTTGATACTCCTCATTTGATAAAATCTATGAGAAACACTCTTTTAACATATGACTTAACATCAAACGAAGGTATTATAAGCTGGGATTTCTTATTAGAAATTTATGATATAGATGCAAAAAATGAAAATATTAAAATGTGCCCAAAAATAACACAAAGACATATACACCCATCAACGTTTGACAAAATGAATGTTTCTCTCGCAGCACAAGTATTGAGCAGAAGTATGGCATCTGCAATTAATACTTGCTTAGCCAATAATTTTTTTTCTGAAAAAACCAAACTAAAAGCGAAAGCAACAAGTGAATTTGTATTGAAGATTAATAATATTTTTGACATTTTAAATTCTAGAAATTTGAAAGAAAAAAATTATTTTAAAAGACCTATTCAAAAAGATGGGCCACAGACTCAAAATCTCAGAGATATGTTGGAATATTTGAAATGTTTAAAACTTCCTGCGAAAAAAAGAAATTTTTGTATTTCCGGTTTAATCCTCACCATAAATGGCATAATAGGCTTAAGTCAAGATGTATTTGCTTGCAACTCGCCTAAAATTGAATTTTTACTTACATTCAGAATAAACCAAGATCCTCTTGAAAATATTTTTGCTCAAGTACATTCTAAAGGTGGAAATAATAAAAATCCATCTGTATGTGAATTTTGTTGGATTATCGCTAGAATTATGTCTATGCGTATAGTAACGTTTATGCACAGTAACAAAAACTGTGAAAATGATACAGATATTATGCTGGATTGGGAAACAGGAATCAGTGAAAACATAAATTTAACATTTTCTGATTCAGATGAATCACAAATTTTGTCAGAGGCAGAAGAAAACATAAATAATTTAATTCTTGATGATGACATCGGCGGATTAAATAGACCTGAAGCAGACCCAGCTAAAATGTATTTTGTTGGCTATGGTCTTTTTAAAATACTAAGTCATAAAATTAATTGTACGAAATGTTCTGAAATTATGATTAGAAATGATTCTTTATTAAATTTACCATCAGAACAACTAATAAAATACAAAAATTTCGAAAACAAATCCTACCAAATATTCTTAAAAATTCCGAGCGATAAGTTTTTCGAAATATGTAACCAAAATTTTAATGTATTTAAACATATTTTTGACAATTTTTGGCACAATGTAAATTTAAAAAAACAAATAGTGGAAGCATGTGTCTCAAAAACAAACGAATTATATCCCGACTGGTTTGATCCAGAAAATGAATGTTATGATCATCGAAAAACTATATTAGATTTCCTTGTTCTCGTTTTATTGCGAAAAAATTGCTCCTGGTTAGCGAAAAATTCCACACAGCCATTCAATAGAACATCTTCTTCACATCATCGACTACTAATTTTGCAGCAATAAAGATCATTCAATAAATACTTCGATAGTTTTATACCATAGAAAACTTTACAACTATTAAAGTCTCATCAAACATCATGAATATTAAATTTATCTGACTTAAATAACTGAAATTTCTTTTATACTAAAAATCTTCTCTTCTAAAATACTTTAGAAGAATTTTCAGATCAAAAAGGAAATTATATTTTGTTAATGCTTATTAAATATGTATGTATACATATATGTATGTATATATGTATGCATGTGCGTACCTAAAAAAAAATAAAAATTCTTGAAAAATAAATATGAACAATTATTATTACTTTAAATAATATAAAAAACTATTTAAATTAACTCATGTAACCAAAATCAATTTTTAATTTTGCAAAAAAGTACCATTATTTTTGTTATTCAAGCCATACATATTACCTACTTTTGTTTTTAAATATCATATTGGATCAAGAAAAAGAACTTAAAAAATTTTCAAATACATATGTAAATAGTTTTCTACTAATTGGTAAATTATTATTGAATACACATATTGAATTTGAATACAAAAAAATCTGATGTGGTCAGCACATAACCGACCGCATTGTGTATTGTCTAGTTAAATGAAAGTGTTACAGAATATTATAAAAATGTCTGTTAAATACTTCTTTCCAATTTTTAGGACATTAGTAAGCTTATAATTAACATACTTAGAAAAATGTAAATTTGGTTCTTAGTAGAGTTTCGCTTTGTGCTACCCGAATTCTCTGAAATGCTCGCCAGTTAGTTTCGGTAACAACCAGAACTCAAATATCAAATTTCAAGAAATTTCATCAATTTGTTCTGTGGATATGGTGAAAAATGTAAAATCGGCCCGCAAATCAGTTCTCGAGCCCTGATCTTTCCAAAAAAGTTATATGTTCATTGCTTTAATATGAGGAATTCATATATTAAATTTCAATGAAATCGGTTGATTATTTCTCTTTATATACACAAAAGTGTATGTTTGGCCCGTAGTAAACGTCTAGTTGCCGATGCCTGATCTTTTCAAAAAAGTTATATGTTCATTGTTTTAATACGGGGAATTCATATATTAAATTTCAATGAAATCGGTTGATTATTTCTCTTTATATACACAAAAATGTATATTTGGCCCGTAGTAAACGTCCAGTTGCTGATGCCTGATTTCTTCCAAAAGTTAGGAATTTTTGCGTATTATGGAGCAAAGCTTATATATGAAATTTCAAGTAAATCGGTTGAATACTTTCTTCAAAATGGTGAAAAATGTAAAATCGGCCCGCAAATTCGTTCTCGAGCCCTGATCTTTCCAAAAAATTTATATGTTCATTGTTTTAATACGAGGAGTTCATATATTAAATTTCAATGAAATCGGTTGATTATTTCTCTTTATATACACAAAAATGTATATTTGGCCCGTAGTAAACGTCTAGTTGCCGATGCCTGATTTCTTCCAAAAACATACGAATTTTTGCGGACGGTCGAGCTGAGCTTATATATGAAATTTCAAGTAAATCGGTTGAATACTTTCTTCAAAATGTTCAAAAATGTAAAACAGGCCCGCTAAAAAGTGCAGTTCCCGAGGCCTGATATATACCAAAAGTTGATCGATCCGTGCCATGGTGGAAACAAACTTACATATAAAATTTCATCAAAATCGGTTCAGCCGAACTTGAGATACACGCGTGCACACACAGACCGACAGACCGACAGACCGACAGACCGACAGACCGACAGACCGACAGACCGACAGGTTGCTAAAAATAGTTTATTTACACTTCCCTACTATGGAGAAGTACGTTCCCACCGAAAACTCGATATGCAAAATTTGTTGCCATCACATAACCTACCTATTGTTTACACAATACGGTCGGTAAAAAGTGTGTGTTGATTTAATATTGAAGAATTATGATGCAGTTCGTATGTGTTTGTAAGTATATACAGTTCTCCCCGGTTAAATGCACCACGCTTAATTGATTTTCCCCTTTTATTGAACGAAAAACTAAGGCAACTTTAAATCCCTATTAAAATATACATGAATAACATCGTTTAATTGAGTCCCGTTTAATTGAACAACTCGCTTTAATGAATCTCTTTTTTTGGTATTACCTTATAAAAACTGTGAAAAATTCCCCTGTTTATTGACCTGTCAAAAAAAAAAAAATTTTTTTTTTATCGAAATTTTAGTACTAAAATATGACGTGTAGCAAAAGTAAGCGGTAACTCTTTACTATTTCATGTCAAATTTTTGTTACTGACACGTTGTCAAAAATACAGATATTCTTTTTTACGCATGCTCTTCTCATGTAAAATTTGAAATTTATTTAAATAAAAAAAAAGTAAACGCCGGTTGATTTGAATGTAAGTAATTTGAAATTTATTTATTTGAAATTTATTAAACAACAATTTTCAAACAATATTTATGTAATTAAAGACTAAAATTCAGAAATTCCTCAAGATGTTAAAAAGAAAAAATTCATCATTATCTATTAAAGATAAACTTAAAATTGTGAATGAATTTAAACAGAACAAAATTTCCAAAGAAAACTTGTGCACGAAGTACAAATGTTCGCTATCAACCTTTAACAGAATGATACGGGAAGAAAAAAATTTGATTGAAAAATCAAAAATCCGTAAAGTTACAACAAAAAGGATTAGAAATGGAGCATGTTTTGAGGTGGAACAGGCTCTTTTAATATGGTTCAATAGAATTAGAGAGTCTGGTGGTGTTATATCGGCTAACATGTTGATGGAAAAAGCAAAGCAGTTTGCCATACAAATGAATAAAGATTTTAATCCCAGTCGCGGTTGGTTGTGGCGCTGGCAAAAAAGAGAGAATATTTTGTTCAAAAAAATACAGGGCGAAAGTAATTCAGCAGATTATGAAAATGCCAACAACTACACAGAAACACTCCTACCCAATTTAATTTCCAATTATGATGCAGAAAACATATTTAATGCCGATGAAACGAGCTTGTTTTTCAAGGCATTACCTACATCAACTCTCAGTAAAACAAAAGATCCAGTGAAAGGTTTTAAATCACTTAAAGAAAGATTGACATTACTTTTTATTTGTAATTTAACGGGCGATTATAAAAAAGTAATAGCGATAGGCAAACCCAAAAATCCTCGCTGCTTTAAAAACAAAATTCTACCCATCCAATACTACTCCCAAAACAAAGCATGGATGGTAGGATCAATTTGGGAAGATATTTTAACATCTTTAGAGGAGGAGATGGAAAAAAATAATAGAAAAATTATTTTATTCGTAGATAATGCTGGCTGCCACAAAACTTCCAGAAATTTTAGTAACATTAACATACAATTTTTACCTCTGAATACAACATCAATTACCCAGCCATTGGATCAAGGGATTATTCGCTGTTTCAAGGTGCATTACAGGCAAAATATCTTGCGAAAGCAAATTGCTGCAATTGAAAGAGAGGAGACACTTGCGCAATTTTCGAAAAATATTAATCTATTTCACGCGTTGCATATGGTTAAAAGAGCTTGGTGGTTGGTTCAACCAAATTCTATTAAAAATTGTTTTAAAAAGGTAATTAATTTATTTAGAATTAGCATAAAATTTCTGTTTACAACATACAAATTAATTATTTTTTAGAGTAAATTTATTCCCTCTAACGCACCAATAATTGAAAATTCTAATGAAGATTGTGAAAATTTTAATGAAGACTGTTTGATGACTGATTTTGATTTTGGTGGATTAATGGAACGAAATGAATTTGATGGCTATGTAGCAATCGATGAAGAAATTGAATGTTATGGTCAGCCTAACGACCAGGAAATAATTCAAGAAGTTTCTTCCATTGGTCTTGATGAAGACCTTGAAACAACAAGCGATAATGAAACTGAGACTTATGATGCAATTCCTACTATTAAGGACGTCTTAAACGGCATAAACATTGTACGGAAATTTTTTATCCCACAAAATAAATTTATTGAAAACTTAGATGAAATGGAAACCTTTATTATTAAGAATCATTACAAACATAACCAAACGAAAATTACAAATTTTTTTAAATAGGTTTAATTTTTTATTATTCTATTTGTTGTTGTTAAACTAGCAATAGTAAATTTATTGAAAAATTAGATATAACGTATGAAATATTTTGTTTTCTTTGTAATATGAAATATTTATTTTTAATTTTTGTTATGTTATGTGATATAAAAATATTATGATTTAAATATTTTGAATTTGAATTCACAGTTACATTACTTAGATGGATTTAAAATGATGAAAAATTTAAGTTTTAAAATTTTGAAATAAAGAAAAATTTAAGTTTTTAAATTTTGAAATAAAAAAAAATTTGAGTTTTAGTATTTCATTAGTGTATCCCCTATTTTAAATATAGCTTTTTACCTAGGATATTTTGATAAGTATATGTAATAGGATATGCTTCCTATTGTTTTTATTAATTTTATGCAGTAGCAGGATCAAATTCGTTTTTGCGCCTGATCTTCAATAGCGAGTATTCGTTTTCATGCGTAAACGATTCAGTTAAAAAAATTCGTTTTATTGCACCAATTGTTCAATTAAACGGAATTTTTTTAATTGATTTACCCGCTTAATTGATACAAAAAGTGTGCAACTTTTCTCGGTTCAATTAACCGGGGAGAACTGTATATTAATATTTTATTTATTGTCAATTCTTAATTTTATTCTTAATTCTGAATTCATTTGAACGTATATGTTCACAACAGTAATAATAAAATTCATATATGGTATACATACGAGTATACATTTGTACGAGTATGTATGCATATTATTAGATCATTCAACAAACACTTTGTTAAACCGAACAACACCATATTACACATAACAAAATTTGTTATTGCTTTTTCACATTCCTTATTCCAAAACAAATTTTTTTGTTTTTTTTTCTTTTTAAGCTCAAACACACCACATTATGTTGAGGTGAATAGCTAATCGTTGTCACAAAGTAGAGATGAAAAAAAATGTTCTTTTTAGACTTTTGCGATTCTTTATAAATATACATTCTTTGCTATTAGGATATAGGATCCCAGAGTCCCTAAGCTCTGAAGAACTACAGAAGGTGCAAAATTGTGTAGTCACCACTAACCCTGTTGGCATTGAAGCAAGACTGTGCACGTACCTAACGCCATAGCCCAGTCCAATAGAATTCTATCACGACTGGAGTCTAAGTACCCTATGGTGACGAGTCTTGCGAAACCACAGTCTACAATGCTTAACATTGGATTTGTGGAATTTCCGGGAACCAGATCACCAACTGACAATCTCAACGCTTATGACGTTGATGTATATAGTTCGGATTCGTTTGGAGCTTCCCAGGAAGTAAAGACGTACCTCTTTGGATATAAGAGGAGAAGATGTACAACAGCCGCGGGTCCATGTTTTATCACGGCTGCTGGAGCAGATATAAAAAAAAAGGGGGACAAAAGTTGGCATGGGCCCTAGTCAGTCTCACATTTTCCTAACATGTGAGGCTGAAAATGCTATGAAATGCCCTCTGAAAACATCAGCTCTGCCAACAAATCCGACTCTCACCTCCTATAAGGTAGGTAACATAGTTATCTGCCGGGTGTCTCCTGGGCAACTTACTTAGTAAGGCTGACGAAAGCGGGTGAAAGCGAGTACTCGGCGCTTAATCCGGGTTTCGTTGGTTAGGAAGCGCGCGGGTGGTAAATCCAGAAGCGTCTGACCTAGAATAGGCGGCTCCCTGGTCTGCGTCTGATCTTTGAGGGACGGCAGTTTTTGAATCCTGGCAGTAGGTATAAAATGCAGAATTTAATCATTTGTGCAATGGACAAAACAAAAGGATTTAGTACCCCAGGTGATATTGATAGCATAGTGGCATTTATACAAATAAAAGTTTTTACATAAAGGCGCAGTCGGATAATCCAATAATATTTTAAATATACGCTTTGATACGTATACTAACATTACTTAACTAAATAGTCAAAAAAATATATATATATAGAGGCGCAGTCGGATTTTAAAAATTTAATTAAATTAACTTGATAATCGTTGAAAAAATTAGCACATACAGGCGCAGTCGGATAATACATAAATATTTTACTACGTCAAATTTTTATGCAATCATTTGTTGTACAAGTAAAGATATTTACATAAACATTCGTTAATTAAATAGTAAAAATTATTTATATTGAGGCGCAGTCGGATAGTGCAAAATTATTTTATAAAATTTAATTTAATTAATTGTATAAGCATTAACAAAATTATATATATATAGAGGCGCAGTCGGATTTTAAAAATTTAATTAAATTAACTTGATAATCGTTGAAAAAATTAGCACATACAGGCGCAGTCGGATAATACATAAATATTTTACTACGTCAAATTTTTATGCAATCATTTGTTGTACAAGTAAAAATATTTACATAAACATTGGTTAATTAAATAGTAAAAATTATTTATATTGAGGCGCAGTCGGATAGTGCAAAATTATTTTATAAAATTTAATTTAATTAATTGTATCAGCATTAACAAAATTGAATACGTCAAGGCTCAGTCGGATATCATAAAAATATTTTCAAAATTTGTAACATTCAGAGTTAAAATAATTAATGTAATAACGCAATAAATAAATTTAGTACTTCAAGCATATTTGAATAATAACACCAAACAAAGAGGAAGAGCAATCGACCCCACACCATTTACAATAGATCGGAACTACGCCAAGAAAACAACCTTCAGCAGTTATTAACGCCAATTACCGTATCCTACGATTTGCCCCTTCTCTTTCTTCGCCAACACACCTAACAAACCAAAAAAGTTGAGTCCTGATTTTTTTCCAAAGTATGAGTACGAATGACTTTACAAAAATTTTACAATACACAGTAAAACTCGTGAGAAATGGAACCTGTCAAAGACAAAAACTTTTTTATGTCGGAAAAATGCTAATTTTAAGGTCTCTACGAAAATTTTCATATGAAATAAGGGAAAAACTTGTCAGACCTAGACCTATAAATTTTGGAAATTGCTTATATATACAACCTGGCATTGCCAGAAATTTTCAAGTTTCTGTCATAAATTGTCATTATTGAATTTTCAAGTGAATTTGACATACATGTTTTTTGTTTTTTTGTTGTCTATCGCTTTTTATAATTTTATTTTGGCGGTTGTTAAATGTCACGAGTTCATACATACATATTGTAGTTTAATTAATTTTTTGCGAAGAAAATTTCTTCTTCATAATTTCATTTTAGATACAATAATGGGAAGAGTCAAAAACTTAACTATCAAAGAAAAATATTCCGCGATATAAATGGTTCTAAAACAAAAGAAGAAGGTGAATTGCAAAATTTGTTCAATGTGGAAAAAGTCAAATTTACTCTGGAATAAAAAGTAAAGATCAAAAACCAATCAAAGAAAAAAATAAGAAAGGAAACTTATGAAACAATAATTCGAAGAGTTTTTGAATGATTCTATTTTGTCAGTTCCAAAAATTTTCCTATTAGTGGACCAATTTTAAAGAAAAAGCTGGGGAAATAGCAAGCACTATGAACATTGAAAATTTCAGTGCTTTGCTGGATAGCTTCAAAAAAAAAAAAACAAAAAGATATCTTTTTATTCCATGCATCGGGTGAATCCCATGATGTAAATCTTGATATGGTGAACAACTGGAAATCAAATTTAGCTGAAAAGATTGAAAATTATGAGCTTCGAAATATCGAAAAACGTGTATGAAACAGGTTTATTTTTCAAAATGATGCCTGAAAAAACTTTGATTATGAAAAGAGAGAAATGCTATGGTGAAAAAAGGAGTAAAGAACGTATTTAAGTTTTATTGACCGTTTTTGCTGATGGAACAATTGAAAAACCCTTAGTTATTGGAAAAAGTAACAACCCCCGTTGCTTCAAAAATATTAATAAAACCAATTACCAGTTTTTTGCAAAGCTAATTCAAGAGCGTGGATTTTACATCCAAAGAAGAATTGTTGGGTATGATTTCTTTGAAGGACTAGAGGTGAAGATATATTCAACGGGTTTAAAAGTCTGCTTAATGATAAGAAAGTACCTCTTTTTAAATTAGTTTCAATAACAACGGATGGCGCAGCTGCAATGATAGGGCGCAAAAATGGATTTATAGCCTTATGTCGAAATGACGATGAATTCCCAGATTTTTTGAGTTACCACTGTTACTGTATAATTCACCAGCAAGTATTATCCAGCAAGAGACTAAATATAAAAGAAGTAATGGACATCGCGTTTGAAATTGTTAATTCAATTCGTGGAAGTTCTCTCAAACGTCGTCGTTTTGAACTAAAAACCGGATGAAGGTCAGTCTGATTTATTATTGCATACTGATGTAAGATGGCTAAGTAGAGGTAAATTTCTGCAACGATTTCGTGATTTATTGCCTGAAATAATAGAATTTCTTAATGAACAAGAGAAAAAATATGCATATTTAAATGACAAAACCTGGCTTAGTGACTTAGCATTCCTTACAGATTTCACTTCCATATTAAGCCATTTAAATTTAGAATTACAAGGTAAAAATAAAACAATAATTGATATGATTAGCAGCATAGATGCATATAAAACCAAATTTATTTTGTTGAAAGAAGATTTACAACAAAATAATATGAACCATTTTCCAAAAATGGCAGACAACTTACAAAAAAATAAAAATATTATTTATGAGATTGACAAGTACGTGGCCGAAATACAAAATGTAATGGAAGATTTTGAGAAGCGATTCCAAGATTTTAAAAAAATTAAAGAAATTGTGGAATTTATATCTTTTCCTTTCAAAAAAGATTTAATTGTGAAGGAAATTAGCCAAAAAATTGCCGACTTATTTGATATGGAGCAAAACGCCTTGGAAAATGAAATTATAATTTTACAATCTGATTTAATCTTACAAGCCAGAAAATTTGAAGAAAATTTTTGGAAATATGTGCTTTGGATCTACGTATATGTGCGAATCGGCATTTTCATATTTAAAATTGACTTAAACTAAACTTCGTTCCGTCCTGACCGATTCTCATACTGAGGACTCATTGTTATTGTCTTTGTCA